GATCGATCTTTTAAAGTTATTGATTCCTTAGATCTGATCAAAAAGGGTAATAATCAAGAAAATGTGCGAGCACGAGAAGCAATTAGATTTTTGGATCAAATAGGTAGCCAGCGGAACCATGATCATTTTATCCGTGCACAGAAGGAGAATGAAAAATTACCCCATTGGACATGTGCGGGAGAGTTTCTTGTCGAAGAAAGTTTCCGACATAACACTTCACATGTTTGCCAAAATGAAAAAATAGCTAAGGAATTACATGATAATGACATCACGGATGAAAAACCTATAACTGATATTCCACAAGAATTTCGTCCTATATTAAGTTGTTGGCTTTATTTTGCACATTTAGCGAACATCGATGATATATTATTTGTGACAGAAAATCAAGAATTAACGAAGTATGCAAAAATGTTTGGTGTTCCCGTTGTTGGTGTTGGAAATATTCCCTATAGGTAACATTGGGCATCGTCCGGCTGGCACTGGGTCCTCAATGTGGACAATAAATCCAGCTACACCCTTGGTGCTGCGCCCCAAGGTGTGTGCTGGATTTATCATCCACATTTCGATTCAACACTCAACAAATAGTAAATAAAAAAAATATAAACAAATTTTTATATAATAAAATTAAAATATTTTTATTAAAAAAAACAGATTTTTGGCAGGTTAATATATATTAAAATTATTATTGGTTAGGGTTAGGGTTTGAGCTAATATTAGGATTAGAGTTAAAAGACATATATATATTAGTTACAGGACATTTTCTTCTTCAGGGGTTTCAAATGCTGTTACTTATAAATCAAATGAGTTAACTCACCTAATTTTATATATAAATTTATTCAAAAATATCATTTAAATTAAATTAAATATATATTCTTTAGCATTTAATAATTTTTAATCTAAAGTTTTAGTTCAAATAGTTTAAAAAGAATCTTTCTTTAAAGTTGTATTTTTTTTTTCTTTTTACAGTTTAAAGAGAGACGCAAGAATACTATTCCTGATGGATTGGCAATACCGATCTTGATGGAGTTAAAAAAAAAATTTATTTAGTACTGTTCTTGATAGGGTTCTAAAAACGAACCCTAATCCTAACTTTTTTTCATTATATAGTATAGTATTTTGGAGGCACTTTTTTAGAACCTATCAGGAACGGTATATAAATCGACTTTTTTTTTCACCCTATCAGGAACAGTACTGGCAATCCATCAGAAACAGTATTTTTGCAAGAGAGATTTCTATGCCTTATGATTTTTATTAAATGCTAACCTATCAATTATTACATAGAGGGTATCCTATTTTGTATATCAATGAGGTTACAATTAGTCATATATACAACTTTAGTCATTGTTTATTTAAAGGCTCTACTCGCAGGTTACTTATTAATTGGCATATCTAGAACCTGTGAGTTTCCTATTTAAAGTCTTAGATTTTTAATATTTTTTTTGTAATATCAGACTTAATTTGATTCAGTTATGGTTTAGAGCTACTTTATCTTTGAAATAATTCTTTACCATAATGAGAGTAGATTCCACATCTATGCTGGTTTAGATTTTTGTATCAGAGAAGATTTTATAATACTAGATCAATTCTTTTTCACAAATATTAATGCCATTCTCTACTTTTCTTATTATAGTAGTGTTCATTCTCTGTTATATTAGTTTTTTTTTAGAAATTTCTTGATATATATACTTTCACATAGATTTCACAGAGTTTTGTGTTTAATTATAGGTTTCAATTTTGATTACAGAATATTTTACTTTTAACTAAACTTGAACTATTGATCTTGTCTGTAGAAAAACAGAAGCTTAACAACTAAGCTATAGGATCCAAACCCTAGTTAATGTATTTTTTATCTTTACAACTTCTATAAAATTATATAGGCTGTGTTCTGCAAAAAAGAGAAAAATCAACATTTACAAAATTATGAGATAACTTGTGATTTGTGTTTTGAATACAACAAAGATCTATATGCATCTGACCAAATTTAGATATTAAAAAATAGATCAGATGATTAACTCACTCACAAAAATTTCTAATTAGTTTTGCAGAAAGGAAAATTGACAAAAAAAAGATCTTTGAAAAATTAATTTTTATATTATAAATTTTATAATAAATCATAAGAAAATACAGATTTCAGAGAGCTATACTGCAAGATTTTATTAGTGCAACTAAAGTTTGCACCTAAGTAAAAATGATTCTGATCTTATTCTAAATTGATTTATACAGAAAAAGTTTTTAGAAAATTTGTCAATTTCCTCCTTTTCTGCGGACCTAGCCCTTGTACATATAACATATAACATGTGATTTATATTTGAGATAGTATCGTGTTACTGTTTTATACAAGTATTGCAATATTTTCATAATAAAAATTTTTTTACTATTTCTTATTAACATGAAATTTATAAAAAAGATCGTTTGTCTAAAAACAATAGTGACTTTTTTAGATTGGCAAATATAACTACAAAAATACATTTTTAAAAGTATATCTAGTATATTATAAATACAGTAACTTATTTACAAAACTTAAATTATGATCAATGAGAGAAAATCGCATTAAGTAGTCTAACTATTCAAGTTTTTTATATCTGAACTGTATTGTTCGCTCAATAAGCAAATACTTACATGAAACTATTCTATAGCTCAGAACTATAATTTGGCAACAAAAATATAAAAGACTTTATCTAATTATAACACCACGACATATTTAAACTACGATTGTAATATTACTATCTTATGCTAAGTTAATATTATATAAATTTACTATTTAGACTATATAAAGATGTATTGTGCACATATTCTTATAAGAAGCATCTTGTGTATAAGTATTCAATTCAAGTTTTGTGTTAAATTAAAAAATTATTACGTATAAGAGTGATATTTTATAAATACCATTTATAATAAAAATTCTTTATTAATTTTGTTTTACTGTAGGATAAGGTACTGATAATGGACAAAATTCATCTCTTTTGATTAGATCACAGATATGACTATGAACTTGATTGTACAAATACCATTGTTGCTCTAGTGTTAAATTTTTTGCTAATAGGGAAGCTGGAAGAGCAGATGAAGGAAATGAATTAATTTTGTTTTTTTTTAATAATATTATTTCTGTTTTTTTTCATTTATTGCTAATTTTATTTTTACTATTCCAGGTTTATCTGATGAAATAATGAAGTGATGTGCTTAAGAATTTGTGGAACGTTCTTGAAGAATTCATCAAAAAATTCTGCTCACTTGTAAAATTGAACTTGTCGAGTACTATTTTGGTTATGAATAGTTTGTGCTATATTATAGCTCCTGACAGTAGAGTTTTGAACAATCTGAACTAAATCTGCCAAGTTATCTACTTCAGAATGTTGAAGTTTTAGTTTCAGTAACTCAAAAAAACTATCAGATGAAAATTTAGTATATCCTACTACTATAAAAGAATATGTAATTCTTTTATGCAAATTATTTAAAACGTGCCATATTAAATATTTTATTATGACATTATTTTTATTTTGACTCAGGCAATTGTCTGCATGGATTGTAATATATTTTTCTCTGAATTCATGATTTTTCAAAATAATGGTAAACTATTGAAATAATCACATTTGCCCTTTTTTCAATATCTTTATTTTTTTTAATTAAATAATTTTTCTAAACAAAAACATAATAGTAAATTATTTTTAGAATTTACATGTACAGTTGACCCTCTCAAAATCAGTATGTATGATGAACAGGTTTTGTATTAGTTTTGAGAAATTATCAGATTTAAAAACCTATCAAACTATTAGATTTATATAACAAGAATGAACTTGGTAGAATAATTTTTTATTAGATTTGACAGATTATCAGTTTTAACAGGATCAGAATCGACTATATTATATTTTTAATAATTAAAATTTAAACCTGTCGAGAAAAAGTGTCTTCATATATTCCAAAAATTGAGACTTTGTACAAAGACTTAAAGTAAATAGATCCCTAAATATTTTAATAATAATATTGTGGTATTTATTAATAAAGGTAGCTGTGCATTTTTTAACAATCATTTTCTACAGTTATTTACTCAATACAATAGTTGCAGATATATATTAGAGGGTTTTAAAATTAATATTTGGCATCTGATTTCAGATAAAATAAGTAATATGTTTAATTCTAGAATATAAAACCTATTTTTAAAGTATATACTTATTTAGAACGTAAAAGTTTATCAAATAAAGCAATTTTATTACTAGTCATACCTCTTTAATTTTTTGATTTGCCTTTAGAGATGAGTTTCATGTATGTGCATGATTCTTTAATCATGCATATTTATGCATATAATTCAAAAATATATATACTTTATCTTATCTAAATTTTATATAGAAAAATTAAATATATAAAATTTAGACTAAAGAGTATAATACTAGATAGAATAAAGAATAAAAAAGAGAAGAGTTGAAGCAAAAATTTGAGCAAATATCTAATATTTTTCAAAGAAAAAATATAAAATCAAAAATTATATTATGTGATATTATATGCATTTTATATAACATACATTAATACGCATCATGCGTATGTTATTATAAAATATACATTTTGCTTATCTCTAATTCTTACTTATTTTCAAAATAAGTAATTCTAAAAAAACTAATATTATTTAATTAAAAAAATCTATTAGAAAATAAGATATAACTATACTTCTTGTTGTAAATAAAATGGGAGATGTATAGCTTTAGTGAAGTCCCATAAGATATGGTTCTCGAATTCCAAAGAATTTGGTTTCTCGAGACATAAAAGCTTCAATAAATTGATAATATTTTTTATTTACTGTTTAGTATCTAATATGCATTGTCTAAAAAATTTAATTTTGATAAAATAGCTATATTGATAAAAAAAAAAAAAAAGCTAATCATATTTATAAATTTTTCTTTCTTGATTCGCCCATTTAATATGATTATTCTATTTTTGAATATTATAATCTCGTTTGTTTTTTGTCCAATATTGAGTATTAAACTGCATATTTTTACAAAGTATGCAAAGATCACTTCTAGGAGATAAAAAGCGAATTTCTAGTATATATTTTTTCAAATTCACATAAAAGATAATCAACTAATATAGTGATCAGAATCTTTCTCTAAATTTGATTAATAAAATATGGTATAGTCCAGAATAACTTTCATTAGCAAGAAGAAATGTAATAGCTATAGTATCTTCTCGAAAATGCTGGCCTAATCAAAGTAATTTTATTAATATAGATTATTTATTCTAACTTTATAGAAGATTTTTTCTGCTCTTATCAGTGCCAAAAAAATCTAGATAAATATATAGCTATTAGGGTGCCTCAAGTATAATTCTCAATAAAACTTGCTAATGATCAAGATCGTAAAAGCAATATGCTTAATTGAAGTAATATTTATAGCAATTTTGCTAAAGATTTATAGTATGAAATGCAGATATTAAATTTTAGTCTACTAGTACAACTCTGCAATAAAAAA